ATTTTAAATCTTTATTTTATCAAATTTTAATATTTTTGTGATTTTAAATCTTTATCAAATTTTAAAATCTTTGAGATTTTAAATCTTTATTTTACCAAATTTAAAAATCCTTGTGAAGATTTTAAATCTATATCAAATTTTAAAACCTTTGAGATTTTAAATCTGTATCAACTTTGAGGTTTTAAATCTTTATCAGATTTTTAAGTCCCTGCAAAGACTTGAAATCTTTATAAAATTTTAAAATCTTTGTGATTTTAAATCTGTATTTTGCTAAATTTAAAAATCTTTGTGAAGAATTTAAATCTATATCAAATTTTAAAACCTTTGAGAAGATTTTTAATCTATATCAAATTTTAAAATCTTTATTTTAAATCATTACCTAATTTATAAATCTCTGCAAAGATTTTAAGCCTTTATCAAATTCTAAAATCTTTGAGATTTTTAATCTTTATTTTACCAAATTTTAAAACCTTTGAGAATTTTAATCTGTATCAAATTTGAAAATCTTTGAGATTTTAAATCTTTATCGAATTTTTAAATCTCTGAGAAGATTTTAAATCTTTATTTTATCAAATTTTAAAATATTTGTGAAGATTTTACATCTTTATCAAATTCTAAAATCTTTGAGATTTTAAATATTTCACCAAAGTTTAAAATCTTTGTGAAGATTTTAAATCTTCATCCAATTTTAAAGTCTTTGAGGAGATTTTAAATCCCCGAACCTGAAACTGGCTGGTTTGCCATCACCGATCCCCTCAATGAGTGGACAAACAGTTGCAAAAAGAACCGAGTTGTACAACAACCCTCAGCAAGTCGGCGGGGGTGAGCCACCTTCATCCCCTCCACCGCCCCTCCGCCTCCTCATCCTCGCTGGGGGCTGCGCCACGGGACGAGGGGAAGGGACACAACCCCCTCCCTTCCTTCCCCTGCCAGGAGTGACCCCCAAACCTGCTGCAGCGCGGGATCACCCCTAGATTAGGCCACACCCGGAGGGATGCTGCCGTATTATCAGCTCAGTCCGTGCTCAACTGCAAAATATTAATGAAGCTCTCGGAAAGCTGCTGGGCGCCCTTGGCCACAGCCCAACTTGCCCCGGGTGGCATAAAAAAAATAAAGAAATAAAGGGCTATAAATTATTCCAGTGAGCTGGGCAGGCAGCGGGTTCCTGCTGCCCCATGGTGCTTTCAGCTCCGGGCTGGAAGCTGGTAGGAGATGCTGAAGGGACAACACGGGCCATGAGTTCCAACAGGATTCATGAAAATGGGTTGAGATGGAATTTTAGAGCTCCTAGGGAAGGCAGGTGGTTCTCCTCACTTTGGGGGTACCCCGGGATTCAGGAATAAAGCAGAGCCCGTGTTGCCACACACACAATCCGCTCGTCCAAATTCTCTGCAAAGCCCCTTGCGGGCCCCCTCCACGCTGCCTACAGGCAGGGGCTCCTCGACAGCGTGGAGAGGGAAACACGCCCCTTCCTACCCCCCCTGCTAACATGACTCATCGCTTCCTAACATACGGCAAAGTTCAGGTTTAAATTTGGGCTGGGGGGCACGTGAAAAAAAAAAAAAATCTGCTTTTTATGCTTTTACGGCTGGAAAAGAAACATCGCGGAAGCACCGAGCCAGCGCCAGCGGTTTTTCAATCAGCTGCTCCGTTGTCGTGGAATTCATTGGCCTGAATTCCAAATAAACTGAGCCGCGCTCCTCAGACGACTTTAATTCCTCCAAATTAATAAGCCTTATCGCTTTTTATCCTTAACCGAGGAGTTTTGCCTCTAGATGAATGGTTTCCTAAGCAAAACTCACAGCATTCCCCTGGGGTTGGAAATACGGTTGTGTGGGTGACTGTAGGCGACTGACTCGCTGCTTCTGCTGGGAGGTGTGAAGCTGGGATTTGTTTTCTGCTGCTTTATAAAAAAAAACCAAAAACCCAACTTAGTTCTTTTGAGGGAAAAGGGAAACCTGCCAGGTTTGAGGTCAGAGCAGCGAGGTCTGCACGCTGCCTTCCCGTGGCCTTGAGCGCTGAGCCCGAGGAACTGTCACCCACCTGGACAGCCCAGTCCGGTTATCTTTATTTTTTTGAGATTAAAAAAAAAAAAATTAAAAAAATGATGCCACTTCCCTAATTCCAGTCTCAACGCAACTACATTTGGCAGAAAAAGACAGACTGAGCTAAATCTTTACCCCGCGGGGTCAGTGAGAGCGCCCCAAGGAGACGGGGGATGAGGTTCAGAGGCCGCGGTGGGTGCTGGCACCCTCGGGGCTGGTGCTGCTCCGCTGCGCTTTGCAGAGGGGAGGGGGACAGAGAAAATGAAGTTCCGCGAGTCGTGACAAAATCCCAATTCAGAATCACATCTGCTGCTCGAGGAGAAAGACGCTATTTTAAACCGACTGCGTACGTCAGCTCTGCTCATTTTTTTATCCTGATGCGTCTGGGGGAGTCTGATAACGTGATTTACCTTATTGCTGCTCTCTTAGCGCCGAGTCAGGGGAGAATTTTAGTTGGAAGGGACTTCTGAACATCACCTAAAGTTTAAAAACATTCCTAGATCCTTTTTTTTTTTTTTTTTTTTTTTTTTTTCCCTTTTTTTTTTTTTTTTCTTTTCCCCTCTAGATGAAGACTAAGTCTTAAACTAATTGCTGCACGGCACAATATTGAGAGCAGCACATCTCTCCTCTGAGCTGCTTTGAACATAAAGATACGTTTAAAATGACTTCATCCATGGCAGAGTAGAAGCAAAGGTTAAATGTCGTAAATCACCGAGCCCAATGTAATAGAACTTCTCCCTGTTTGTCTTTCTCAGATAAGAGACTTCATCTTAATCCAAACGAACAAACAAAGTATTAAAGCATATCATTAGGAAATAAAACGAATCAACTTACCGGAGATCTAGCTCAAGTTTAATCCTTCTGCTGCCTTCTGCTGGTGCCCAACTTCTAAGCAATAATTTATTACTGCTATATAAAATATTAAAGCCAGTCCCTGCAGCATTGCCCTATTTTTTAAGGTTTTGAATATACCATTTCCAAATTCCTGCCCGCTTACTGATTTCTGCTGATGACATTAAATCGTCTCCCGATAGGGCTCCTCACCCGCAGCACCGCCGAGGCACAAACCACCCAATTTAGGGCATTTTTGGCTTCCTGGAGGCAGCGGGGAAGGGAGCGGGGCTGTGCCTCCCCCCCTACACTCTGCACACGGGAGCTGGGGCTGGCGGTGATGCGTTGTCACGCCGAGATGGCCGCGTCCCCCTTCCCTCCGCAGGCTGGGAATCTCAGTTTCCTTTTTTTTTTTTTTTTTTTTTTTCAAAAAGAAAAATAAACCCCCACGACGGAAGATGAGATTTTCCCTCAAAAGGCAGGGGAGAGCGTGTCGGAGGTGGCTCAGGAGAGTCATTTTAATGCTGCGTCAGCAAACGTTGCTGCTCGTTTCTGGGTTCAAGTGGCTAAGTGATAAAGGTTCAAGTGGCTAAGTGATAAATTTTGCTTAGGGGAGGGAAGAGTTAAACAGGTTCTGGCATCTTCATATCTCCCGTTATGAAGATGGAGCAAACCCCGCTGTGGTTTTCTACCAGAAGGATTTAAAACGCTGCATGAGAGAAGCAGGGAGGGGGGGAAAAGAATAAAAAAACCAAACCAAAACCCAAACAACAAACCATCTTTCTTCCTCAGGTTCATCTATTTGTTGTTCTCTGGCAGGAGCCGGGGATGGGCAGCAGGGAGGGACCCGATGGGGAGGTTGGGGGAGGTGGGTGCTGCTCTCACGCTGGCGAGTGAGGTGAATAAAGCAGATTTTGGGGCAGGGGACGAAGCCAGGTTTGCCTGTGCCCTGGGAGGAGCAGCTGCGCTGGCCCCTTCACCCTTCCTGCAGCCACGATAGCTCATGTTCTGAAAACGTTGGATTAGCCCCAAATGTGCTATTTTTTTTCACTTAAAACAGGAGACACGGGAGCGCACGGGGCCCCTTGTTTTCTGCCCTTCTTAACCCTTGTTTTGGTTCACACCTCCTGGATATATTTTTGCCCAGGCTCCCACAGCGGGTCCCCTCGTCCTGCAGCGTATTTCTCTCCACCCCCCCATGACACACAGCAGGACGGGGAGAGTTTAAAACCCGTTTTCACCGCAAACAAAACACCAGTGGGTTGAGCAGATGGAGCAGATCCGGGCTCTGGTTAGAACGCTGTGATGCAAGAGGAGCTTTCACCAAAATAGGGGACAAAAATAACATTCACGTTCTTTAGAAAAGGGGCGTCCCTGTCAGCGCACCCTAAAATAATCAGCTGGGTGGACTCAGCGACACCCCGAGGACCTGGGGAGGGGGTTGGACTGGACACCAGCTTCTTGCAGGAGCCACAGTGGGCTCCCAAAAACCCAAAGCCACTGGTCCTGAGCGCACTCGGGGAGGGAAGAGCTGAGCCTTAGGGACTCGCTGCGGACCTACAATGCTCCAGATACTCAAATTTACCCTATTCCAGCCTCCAGAGAAGAGTCTTCCCGATCGGCACAATTTAGATTTCCCCCTTCCCCCGGCATCTCTTTGCTTCTGTAAACTCCCAGGCAGAACCGTCATCAAATTTCTGTTAGCAATGCCTTTTGTTTCCATCAATGAAAAATTAACCTCATTTTTCTTCAGCCGTTCGGCTTTTATTTAGCAAAATGCCTTAGAGCCATAATTCTGCGTGTTGAAGATTTTCCACTCGTTAGCTCCCACCCCACTTTCTCACCTGGCATTACACCCGTGCTTGCCGGATCATAATATTCAAAACCCAACAACGTTTTTTGGCCTTATCAATAAAGAAGAAGGTAGAAGGAAGCGGGCACGGTGATGGATGAGGCGCAGATAAATGAGGTTTAAATCCCACTGAGTTTTATCTACGCCGTGGGGCTCCACCTCAGCAGCCTGCAGTCCTCTCACCCACACTAACCAATTTATTTTTTAATCCATTACTTATTTCTGTCTCCAGCAGAGCCGGCCACAAGCCCCTTGCTGTGGTCTGCACCCACCTGCAGGTCGTCAGCAGCTTCTGGGACTTCCTCGTGTCCATCTCGAGCGGTGCAGCCTCCGCTTTCAACCGCAGACTCCGCTGCTCATCATTCACCTTACTGCAAAATAATCCTGGGATTTATATCTGAATATTTCTACCAGTCGCGCGCAAAGATTGAGTTTCAGGGCGAGGGGTTCATCTCCCAACAGGCCTCCTTGCCCCACGGCGAGCGTGTTGTAGCTGCCGGCCTCACACAGTTATTTATTTCCAGTGAAAAGGATCCCTTTAATTAGCCAGTTCACAAGAAGGAGGATCTCATGCGGTATCTCTTAGGGACTTCCTGACATTTCTTGAGGATTAGCAGCACCTTAATTATTTAAAACCTGCCATTTACTCTGCGTCCTACATCTCCCGAGTCAATTAAAACACACAGAAGTGTTGATGAGGGCCTTTCAAACTGCTGCTGCCGCACGTCGAGTCACGGAGAACAACCACAGAAAAGCTTTCTGAACCAAAATATATAGGGATAGACAAAAGAAAATTGAGTTAAAGAGGGCGGGAAGGACCCTGGGAGAAATTTGTTGAGTTGTCCTGACTCCATCTAGGATGGGTGTGGATTCATCCCACCAGACAGATGTTTGGAAAATAAAACCAGCCCCGCTTTTCCTGGGCTGTAGGAGACCTCCCCACAGCAAAGCAGCCCCAGCTCGAGAGGAAAAACCATCTCGTCTGGCGGGACCAGGCAGGTGGAGCTGGGGAGCAGCAGAGCAGATCACAAATCCACCAGGTTGGGGTCGAGGAGCAGAGCTCGAGTTCGCTACCTGCTTGTCTGATCTTTAGTTCAACCAGCAAAACCCCGTTTGATGAGTAAGCAGCTGCCCAAGGGCAGCGTGCAGGTATTAATCACCCAGCAGACTGAATAATGTATGAGTTTGAGAACATCGCAGCGTCTTTACTTGTTTCTACGTGAAAAAAAGGAAAGATCTACTAACGCAGCCTCTGCCTTTCTAATGCAAGAATAAGCATCAAGCGCGCAGGGCTGCCACAGCTTAAATTAAGGAAGGGGGAAAAAGTAAAAAAAAGTGGGTTTTTTTTTTTTAAATAAATATAGTATTAGAAACTCTCCAACAGCTTCCCTAGGAAGGTTTGGGGAGCTCACTCCAAGCCACCATTGTGAGCCAACGTGGTGCAACAGCCTCACGTACGTCAATCCCCGGAGCCTTGGGGGTCCCTGCTCTGAGGCCGCCCAGAAGATCACCCGGGGCCACCCGCTGCCACTCGCCTACGGTGAATCCAGAGGTTGGGCCCTGCTGCCCGGCGTGTGTCTTCAGAAGCACCTTCTGGTCCTCCGCAAACAGCCGCAGGGAAATTATTTCCCCAGAGAATCTTCAGTTTGTTTCCTATCGCTGCAGGTTTGGTCTTTACCTTGTGCAGAGCCAGTGCACAGAAGACAGTTAGTCCAGAGCGATCCTTTTTTTGCTGCTACAGAAGCATAAACCCTTTCAAATTAAATTTTAATTAAGAAAATACACCGGGGAGAACAATCCCACAATGAGGAATGAGGTCTGTGGTGTGATCTATGGATATTTTCTATTTCCCAGCACCGGTATCATGGGTCACACGAGGACCTAAGTCAGGAAAAAAAGAAAAATAATTAAAAAAAAAAAATCTAATCGGTCCCAAATTTCACTTGGTGATGAGCCAGTGCAGCGTTTAATCGCCAGCGTAGGGACTATTTGATCACAAATTTGAAAACCAGCTCCACAGCAGAGGTTCACTGACCGTGGGGAGATGTTCCTCCCCCGTGCCCAGGGGGAAGCTGCCCCCGGGGACCCCCCGTTGCTCCCCAACACCCGCGGCCGCACGGTGGCTGAGCAGACGGGTCCCTCCCAATAAATAACATCCATTTAATTCTCACTCCCAACATCGTTCTGCTCGGTCTCACCAGCAAACACCGAGGATGAGTTTTATTGAGCAGCGCCGGAGTCGCTTTGCAGGGAACGTAGAGCTCGTTTAACCTTTTCCTAACACACATTAATAATTGATTCCGTCCTCCCTCGCAGGCTGCTCAGAATTCATTTTAATATTGATTTTCCCTCTTTTTCCACACTCTTCCCGCTCCATTCCCATGCCTTCCTTCCCCCAGCGACTCGCACCGGGCTTGCAGCCACTCTCATTGATCTCTCCTGCTCCACCTGGGGCAGGACGGAGAGCAGAGAGCTAATCTAATCTTTTTAGGGTTTTTATTGCACTTATTATGCCTTTATTATCCTCAAACTACCTCTTCTCTGCCCACTCCAAACCTACCACCTGGCCTCTTGGGAAGTGCAGCAAGGAACGCAATAATCCCAATTTTTTGGGGGGCAGGCAGCTCAGGACATGAAACAGAGACTCTTGGCTTCTCCATGGGCAGGCCCGGCCTGTAGGAGCTCATTAAATACAGGCATTAATTGAGGAGCGTGATGACCCAGCATGGGGACTAGCCAGGCTGTGGCTGCGATTCGTGTTAGGTAAGAGGGCCGCGTCGTGAAGAAGACGTTTTTTAGCTTTTGTAAAGGTGTGTGGGGGGGAAGCAGCTGTGCGTAAATCCACCAGAACTTGTTAAATCCGGGCTTTGCAGCTGTTTCCCACCCCTCTCTCAGACTCATGGCATGATTCTTCAATTTCCTGACGCTCTCTTCAGCACAAGAAATTAGAGGAGGGGAATTCTTTCCCCTTAATACACAGAATTACGAAGGTTAATTAGCTAAGTAAATGTAATGTAGCCACAACTGGCCTTAGCCTATCTTTGTGGTTTTTTCTAGAACCGTAGAATCATGGTTTAGGTTGGGAAAGACCTTTAAGATCGTCGTGTCCAACCGTTAACCAAGATTTATGTCTGAGCCCCGTTGCTCAAAGCAAATCATTTCCAGACTTACAGGTCTAAAAAGGAGAAAAAAAAAAAGACTAGATTTATTAACCCGATTGCTCGCACCACGCATCTCACTCCTTTCCATGCAGGCAGCGTGCAAGTTTAAGTCAGATAAAGGAAAACTTTAGGCCAGCCCCCTCGGCCCAGCTTCGTCTAAAGGTGTTAATAATCCGGAGAGTTTTCCCAGAGGTTACCCAACCTCACTGCCAAAAATGAACAGTAGCAATACCTCATTTTTTAATCCGCTTATTTAAGTGCATTTATTCACATCTCGCTCTTAAAAAAGCATTTCAACCTCACGAGTGAGTTCTTTCTCCACTTCTTTATTCCTTGTAGCATCCCAGCCCCGAGGATGTTGTGCTGGTGCCACTGGTTGTTCTGGGACTCGCTGGTGGTGGCACGCCACACTGGTCACGGCGTTGG